ATCGCCATTCTACCATAAATCAGTACAACGCAGTGCCTGCTGCACAGTTTCGCCACTGTCAACAATCAATACAACGATCGTTCCAAACCATCATGCAGCCGTGTACAACTTAGCCGATCTTCGCTTTACATTCAAGAAAATACGGACCGTAAAGACCCTATGAGCATCATATCAAGAAAAAGCTATAAACAGCCGGCGAAGAAGACTGTAAACAACGGCCAATAAAGTCAGAGGCAAAATAGGAAGAGCAGTACTCAGCAAACTGAGTCAATCTTCGTTACAGCCACTGCAGTGATCCGATCAAAATATCAATGCCGTATTGCGGGAAAAAAGTGGAACCGATCTTTTAGCTTTCACACAAAATCTTTTAAGGTAGCTAGCTGCAAGGCCGAACAGCTATATCATGAATGGACCACTGATAAGGGTATTCCAATCGTGCTGATAAGAATTTCACGGTGGAACGAAATCGAGTTGATGTTAGGGGGGGAGGGACACTACAGGACCATGAAAATGGAAAAGCATGGAAGTTCAAATTTGCGCTTCTAGATTCGCAAATGACGATGATTCCGTTAATTTCATCTCATTTATCGTAATAATTATCATAATTTGATTCTGCCTACACTTTAATTATCGTGATTTGATTATGTTTATCGTAATTTGATTTTTCAGCTATGCAGTTCGAAAACAACGCCTTATTTTGGAAAATAACAGAAAAAAAAAGAAATACCTGTCCACTGAGAACCACAAATCCAGTTGAGGTTGTTTCAGAGACCGGAAAGGTGCACTCAGAGGCCAGTTCCAGGCCAATTGGGTATGCTGCAAGGCCAGCTACACCAAACAAAAATGCCAGGATAAACAGAAGAATCGTGAGATGAGGATGCAAACCCACCTAAAAAGTCATACTTCGCTTACACTAATAGGAATTTTGATCAGCCAGAATTTATAGCCTGGTTCTCCAGCTATGCAGCTGAAGAACTACGCAATGAGTCCGTAGATGACCGAAATAAAACT